AATAACCCATCTTCCGAACTAATAACTTAAACCGTAATCATTGGATTTAAGTAATTCCAGAAAATAATATATAGCAAGGATATATTGATCCTATATTGAGGAACCAACAGCCTCATGTGGCGGTTTTGACGTAACACGAGACACAAAAACAAAATTGGAAAATACTCCTAATAACCCATCTTCCGAATTAATAACTTAAACCGTAATCATTCGATTTAAGTGATTCCAGAAAATAATATATCGCAAGGATATATTGATCCTATATTGAGGAACCAACAGCCTCATGTTGCGGCTTTGACGTAACACGAAACACAAAAACAAAATTGGAAAATACTCCCAATAACCCATCTTCCGAACTAATAACTTAAACCGTAATCATTGGATTTAAGTAATTCCAGAAAATAATATATAGCAAGGATATATTGATCCTATATTGAGGAACCAACAGCCTCATGTGGCGGTTTTGACGTAACACGAGACACAAAAACAAAATTGGAAAATACTCCTAATAACCCATTTTCCTAATTAATAACTTAAACCGTAATCATTCGATTTAAGTGATTCCAGAAAATTATATATCGCAAGGATATATTGATCCTATATTAAGGAACCAACAGCCTCATGTGGCGGTTTTGACGTAACACGAAACACAAAAACAAAATTGGAAAATACTCCTAATAACCCATCTTCCGAACTAATAACTTAAACCGTAATCATTGGATTTAAGTAATTCCAGAAAATAATATATAGCAAGGATATATTGATCCTATATTGAGGAACCAACAGCCTCATGTGGCGGTTTTGACGTAACACGAGACACAAAAACAAAATTGGAAAATACTCCTAATAACCCATCTTCCGAATTAATAACTTAAACCGTAATCATTCGATTTAAGTGATTCCAGAAAATAATATATCGCAAGGATATATTGATCCTTTATTGAGGAACCAACAGCCTCATGTGGCGGTTTTGACGTAACACGAGACACAAAAACAAAATTGGAAAATACTCCTAATAACCCATTTTCCTAATTAATAACTTAAACCGTAATCATTCGATTTAAGTAATTCCAGAAAATTATATATTGCAAGGATATATTGATCCTATATTGAGGAACCAACAGCCTCATATGCCGGTTTTGACGTAACACGAAGCACAAAAACAAAATTGGAAAATACTTTTTTAATATGGCGAAGGAAGTTTTTTTAATATAAAAAAGTGCTTGAATAATCTAAATTATTATCCGAATTAATAATATAATAATAATAAGAATTAGCATTCGTTTCATTTAAGTGATTTCAAGGCCTTATATATGGCAAAGCATGGAAAATATTTTTATTTTGACGACTCCAAGGATCATAAAATACAATATCAACATTATTTGTTGTCAGATTTTTTGATGATTTAAATTTTTTTTATTTACTTTATTAAAACAATGGCAGCCGTGATATCCGTAACCAAAAGTGTTTGTCTGTGATGTTTAAAATGCAATTATGCATTTTGGGGTCGAAATGGACGAAGGACTTTCCGAGTTGCCAGGTCTGGAAATGAATTTAATTGCAATGCAATGGCAAATCGAATTAAATTGTGTAAAGGGGAAAAGTCCAGAGACACCAACAAGTTTTCCCCTTCAGCGGCAGAGCATCCAATTGAATAAATTAATGCAAATTAACCCATTAATGTCTGACGTATTTCCTTTAACACAAAATTCAAGGAATGAGTTGCAGGGAAAATTATAAACGGGCAAAAGGATTCCAAAAGAATTCTCTTTGTGGGAATGGAAAGCTTAAAATTGTTTGCCATTTATGTAATAATAAATTTTTTTTATGATCAGTCAACACTCAATGTTCCATGTTCCAAAATAGTGCTTCTTTTTTAAAAAAGTAAAAGTAAATAAGATTTTTTATTAACTTCTTATATTGTATAAAACAAAAACTAAGGATACTTTTTGTGCTTTTCCAAGTAAAACACCTCCGGAAAACATATCCGATGAACTGGAAGAGAATATATTCTTCTAATTAATTAATTAATTACAAGAAATATACTTGGAAATATTTTCTCATTAATTATGAAATAAAAACTTTATTAAATAAGTTTTAAATTTTTCTTTCGCACCTTGGCCATTGTCCTCAAGTGGCCTTAACTTCTAATTCACAAATAATCTGCGAAGTTTTGCGCCTGTTCTTGCTGGACCACCAAGATGGCCATTGGTTAGTTTTTTAACCAAAATTTTTTCATTGAAAAACATTTTGGATGGTGCCTGGGCCCGTTTATTGTGATCCTGGGGCCCAGAAATAATCCGGTGCCGGTGGAGTGTCATTAAGTTGGACACTTGGACAATCCACAATTTGTTGCAGTGGAAACAAATATATATGTATGCAATATTTTTCCACAAATAAAGGCTCCAATAGGTTTCCAAATTCTCGGGAATCGCAATCTTTTTTAACATTTTTCTTATTAATAAGTGCATGAATAATCAGATGGTGCACTGCCGATTTCACAATTATTTTTGTATTTATTGGTGATGATGATGATGATTCTTCCACAAATGTCTTGTAACTCCATAGACTTGTGAAAGATTTTTAAATAATTATATATTTTTCGAATGGCTCCCGGGCCCCTTTAACGGTTTAACATTTTTCTAACGCACACCCATTGGGACGGTATATTAATTATTCAATATTTTTTTAATTTTAATTTTATTTGTGCGGTTTTGTTGTATCACGAGGCACCACATGTGTGGATCGAATATATCTTGGAGATGCTTCGGGTCACTCGGACAACATATCCGATGAACTGGAAGAAAATATACTCTTCTAATTAATTAATTAATTACAAGAAATATACTTGAGAATATTTTCTCATTATTAATTATAAAATAAAAACATAGTTAAATAAGTTTTTAATTTTTCTTTCGCACCTTGGCCATTGTCCTTAAGCTGCCTTCACTTCTAACATTGTTTGGATTTTTCCCTAAATTGGTTCCTAATTTATCTTTAAACATCTCCGAAAAACATATTCTCTTCCAGTTCATCGGATATATTGTTCTTCATATTTACTTATAAATAATAACAAAATAACAATGGCATTGTAGAGGAACACACTACACTTGGGAAGTAGTTTTGGAGAATCAATTTAAACAATTTAAAAAATATACTTGCGAATATTTTCCGATTTTTCTTAATAAAATAAAAACTATTAAATAAAGGCTCCAATAGGTTTCCAATTATTTTCCGGGAACCTCGGAAATTGTGCGGTATTGATGTATCACGAGGCACCACATCTGTGGATCAAAATACTTCATAAAAGTCTTGCCATTGGTTAGTTTTTTATTGTTTCTGCTTTTGTCCATTTGAATAATGAAATGGGAATCCAAATTTCAATTCAAATTTTAGATGCAGTGCGCGCATAATTATGACACCCATGGAAACACTGTTAAAAAGATGGGCCATTTATTTTTAAACAGAATTTTCTCATTAAAATTTGGTTCCTATATATAAGAAGATTTTATCTTCTGTTCCTACAGAGTAGCAACTTTTACAATATGTAATATTGTTAATATAAAATTTATTGTATTTAAGTGATTATGTTCACTTAAATTTTGGTGTCGGATTCTTCTCCAGAGAATTTCCATGGGTAAATTTTTTTAATTTTTTCCCATATTGCCACAAGACCATAATCCTCTATTTCGTACCTTCAGCCAGACAAAAAAACAAATAAATAAGAAGTGCGTCCCAAAAATCATGGATTTATTGTATCTCCAGATCGAGGCTACGTTAATAACTCCAGGGATCGGTTGAACGAGAGCCGCGGAGCTTGTGGCACCACTTGGTGGCGCCTCCGGAAAAAACATACCGGAGCGAAATGAGCCACTAAGTTTCCATATAGGATTTTTTTAAAATAACCGGCAACTGTTTAAGAAATTTTTTTAAACTTATAATTGAATTTTTTGTTATTACCAGGAACCGAAATCATTGTAATTTTTATTTAAATAATCACGTGATAATGAGTAAAAATTAATTTGTATACATTTTTTTATCAATATTAATGATTAAAATTGAGTTATACAAATCAAAGGTAATCATTATATTTGATCAAAAACATACAAATCAGTACACAATCATAACTTATTATTTATCTTTGTTATTAATTTAATTAAATATTAATAAATAAAATTAAACGATATTTGTTCCTAAAATATTAAATATTTTATTAAACAAAATTACACACTTAAAAATAAAATTGTGCAGTTTAAATTTGATTGTTTTTAAATTTTCGTGAATTGTAGTTTTACAATGTCAAGTGCGTAGAGCTTTGAAAGAGAAGGATGAACGCATGCTCATTAAAATGCTCGCTATGCACCGTCTCTTTCTATTGCTCTGTTGCGCCGCCGTGCAACTCTTGAACGATAATTTAAAAAAAAAAATTGTAAAAGAATAAATGTATTAAAAAATATATAGAACTTTTTTTTTAATATTATTTATAAATATTAAACTTTATTTAGATATTTGTTTTTCGTTAACCACCCATTGCTTAACATAATGTTAACCTAATGTAAACATATGTTGACTTAACATTAATAGCGGCTGCGTCGAACATGTTGAATGGTCTGTCAAACGTAACAACAATCAAACTGTTGCGCTTTACGGCCAACAGGCGCGCAAGCGCTGTCGGTTGCTTCGAGCCGCATAAGATGGCGCTGGGTGCTGGCGTCGAACTTGGCGAGGCTTCGAACAACAACAAACCACTTGAACGGGTCAGGGACAGTGATGGCACAACATCCATCGAACTTTGGTTGTAACTTGTATTAAATAAATATGCAGCCAAAAATATACATCAACATTTTAAATAGCATATAACAAAATATGTATATAATAATATATATAATATAATATTTTCTCAATTTATTTATAAAAACTTATTGGAATAAAAACTATTTTATTTGATCTCTGTATAGTATAATTACAAGACTTGTATTACTTATTTATTTTTCTTATAGTCAAATCTGACGGAAACCCCAATTCGAATGGATGTTTTATGCCCGCTGCTTGGATTAATTCAGCTCTGTTGAATCTTTTGCTCGTGTACCGGCTTTGTTGCCAACATATTTATTTACTAAACAAAACGCCGAAAAAATAAGGTAACAAAAATAAATTAATTTAAAAGAATTATTCAATAATTTAATTTTATTTGTATAATATTTATTTTAATAGAAACAACCTGAAACAACACTGTCTACAGTGTCCAACTCAAACATATTCAATTGCACCGAACGAACTGGTTCGTCGAACGGTGAAGCATGTTCAACGGCACCGGCCTGGCTCGAGTTGGAGAATAACAGCACTGCCGCCTTTTTTAAAAATTATCAAATTCAAAACCAGGAGCATCATTATTTAAAAATTTATTAATCTTCTCATAATTGAACCCATCTACTAACAGAATTATGCTTAAAGAATCGTACAGAGAGCAATTATAACCATTGTTTGAGAATTTAACAGACCTGCCGTCGCATCAAACCTGTTGCCGTTACCATCGAGCTCGAGCGTCGACGCCGGCAGCGAAATGGCTCGACAGAAGAAATTGTGCCGCTATATAAAGTTACTCTATGTTCAAACACACGCCGGAATGCTAAGAGCATACGTTGGAATACGAAGAGAGGCTGGCAGAAATATTCCGGCTTTTTCAAAGCGCGAGCGTCGCAGTCGTGTTTTCGTCCGCCTTTTGGTCGCATCGCAAAAAACAAATTGTTGCTGCAGCCAGTGGATAACTAAATTGCTGGCTTAAACTAAAGATAAAGCGGAGTAACTAACTAAGGAAAATTTGTATATCCACGTGCTTTGCTGAGTTCGCCTTTCCCCCTCCTTCTATGCTATTTTTCGCGCGTCTTCGTTCGCCGTGTGTGTGTGTGTGTTCGGTGCGTGTGAATTAATTGCGTTTTTTTTTTATATCGCGTTGATCTGCCGTTCTTTTGCTTCGATCGAATTGTAATAACAACAGCAACAACGATAATTGCGAGTGCTTGAGAAAGCCAGAAAAGGAATTCAAGTGCAGTGCCCAAAATAAGGAAAACGAAGAATAAGAAGAAGCAATTAATAATTTTTTTTCAAGTGAAGATTGTGTTAGTTTTGTTGGTTCGGTTGTTTTTTATTTTTGGGGGAAAAAATACAGCAACAACAGCTGAAAAAGGAGAAGCTGAAGGCGAAGGAGAAGCAGAACAACAACAACAAGGAGAAGCAGAGGCGAATTGGAAAAGAGAAGTAACAAGTTGAAAGAAATTCAGAAACCGGATTCAATACAACAACAACAAATACAGTCACCAGCAGCAGCATCAAAGAGGAGAAGGAAGAACCAGCAACAACAAGCAGCAAGCATTTGAGCAAGTAGTTGTTGTTGTTGTTGCGATCCTCTCTCAGCAGCTGCTCCTCAAACGCACTCACGCGCTCTCTCAATCGCTCTCATCGAGGCAGAAGCAGCATAAGGAGAAGGAAGGTGAGTGAAATGTTCTCTTTTATTTTTTTTTCTTTCCTTCATCTCCTGTTTAAACAGTGCGTGCAAGCGAGAGGGGTGGCTAAAGCGCAGGCGTAACCGTTCAATGGTCAAGAGGGAGAAGGGGAGACTGCAGTTTGTTTGCACTTAGAAAAATGAACAGGTTACTATGGGGAGTATTAAATTAGAACAAATTTAATGGTAGTTAAAATGAAAAGGAAACTTAAATAAAATTATATTTAAAAGAATTTAAAATTTAAAAAATGAATAATATTAAATATAAAATAATATCAAATTAAAAAAAGAGTAATATTAAATATAATATAATTTCGTATTAATTCAATACTATTGTAAATCTAATATCCGATAAAGAATTTTAAACTTAAACGTATAAACTGAATTTTCTTAGGCTCTGGCTTTATAGTAAAATAAAAAAACAAAGTTTTTATGGGGATAAAACAAACGTAGAGCTATAAAAACAAATAGAATATTAAAGGTTTAAATCATGTGAGATATTATTGCACTTTTATGGCCAGATCAGTGAATTCATAAAATGTTATAACAACTTGGCAAGTAAACAAAGTAATTATTGCAATAATGTATTAAACTCATCATAACTTACGAGTTTTTTTTTTAACATAAATCGTAAGCCAAAATTTATAGTTCATTAGGCCAGATTAAAAATTTTTTTCCACTTTTATTTCTTCTTTATTGATCGTATTTCACACTAGCTCTCTATTTTCCCTTTTTTTTTCTCTCTCTGGCTCTCTCCTTTGGCCGGGCAAGTGTAAAATCGAAAGTCGGGCAAATCAGAACAGATAGTTTTTCTAGTCATCTTCTTGGTCAGTTTTTATAGTAGTTTTCCCCACATAACTACACTTTACTCCAGTGATCCATTTACCTGGGGCATCGAGCGAGTGATTTCCAATAGGTGTGTCTTCTTTTTCTCTTTTGACCGTAAAACTCTGCTGACATAATGTGCTAAAAAGGTGAAAGAGCTAAAAGAACTGGCCAAAGAATGCAGAATGCAGTGTAAATACTTAAGGCGCCGGGCAGTAGAAACATAAATATTTAAAATCAAATCAAGATATTAACAAACAAATGCGGTTGGCATTGCACTTTGCTTGGCCCCAAGTCTAGTTTCTCCCCCGCCTTTCGCTCTCGTTTTTGATTTTATTTCTTTTGACCAGTTTTGGTTACAGTTGGCTTGGCTTTAGGCCCACATATTTTCTTTTTCGATTTATTTTTATATATGTTTTTTTTTATTTGTCGAGGGAGCACTTAACACTTAACATTGGGATACTAATTTAATAGGGAAATATATATAAAAAAAGTTAACTTTATACTTTATAGATGAGAGCTTTCAATGGTTTAAAAACAAGTTTTATATAAACAAGACCTAATTTGATTGAATTTTTAATTACTTAGCTTGTTAAAATAGTTTCTGGAGTATTTGTTATAACAAATTTTATTTGAAAAGTAGTTTTTAAAAGCCTAAAGTTCGGTATTTCTTAGAAAAGAATTTAAATAAATGATTTAGTTAACAGAATTGTAAACCCATAAAATTCTCTCGATAGGCAAATTGCAAAATAAAACCGATAGCCAATGTATCGATATAGCTGAGGCGCCTCGACTAATGCCGCTAATTGAATTAGCACCCGCATACACCCAACACACACACCCATCATACCTGTAAAGGTATGAAAAATAACAACAAAACACCAACAAACCAGCAAAAAAATGAAACAAAACCAACAACAAATTGGATTAATGCAAACGAATCGAAATACACCAAAAAGACCAGAAAGACCAAGAAAAATGTGTGTAAAAACTACAAAATGGTAAAACGATGGTTTTTGATGCAAACAAATGGCTAAAACATAGCTACCAAGCAGCGCACAGATACATAGATACACAGATATAGATACAGATACAGATATACGAAATGTATCTTTCATAATCGACCTGGTCAAAAGACAGGGACAGCAAGAGAGTGAGAGAGAGAGAGAGAGGAGACGGGGGCAAACACGACATGATAATAACGGTTTCACAAATTTAGTTGCTGCTTTTTTGTTGCTTTTTCTTTAGCTCCGTTTTTAGCTGTCCTTTCACTCAGCTTCTTCGTCATTTTTTCTGTGTGTTATTTTGTATCTTTGTGATTTTTCATTTGGTAGCTTGTTTTTTTTTCTGCTTATTTTTTAGTACCTTTTGTATTTTGCATTCCCATTTCAATATTTTGATTAGAACTCTGGTCGAACACCTCTTCTGTTCATTGACTTGTGCACTTTTGGCCCCTTCACCATTTATTGGTTTTGAGTGTTATTCGTTTTGAGCATTTTCCCAATCGATTTTTTATTAATCGATGGATTTGGCTTTGAGGTGGAAGGTTTTCAATATAAATTGCTTAATAAACAATATAGATAAATGTGAAATTTTAAAGTTTGAAGGATAATTAAACAAGTTTTCTTAAAGTTTCCTTTTAAGTACTTTTTTCCTTAACCTTTTTTATTATTTATAATACATTTTTAAATGTTTTCTAAAAATTGATTTATAAAGATCCTTAATTTCCTTTACTCTTCTTTTAATTTAACCCAATTTATCTAATTTGTTGAATGATTTTAATACCGATTAAACAAGTTTTCTTAAAGTTACCTTTAAGTACTTTTTTCCTCAACCTTTTTTATTACTTATAATACATTTTAAAAAGTTTTCTAATTTGTTGAATGATTTTAATACCAATTAAACAAGTTTTATTAAAGTTACCTTTAGGTAATTTTTTCCTTAACCTTTTTTATTATTTATAATACATTTTAATAAGTTTTCTAAAAATGTATTAACAAAGATCCTTAATTTCCTTTACTCTTCTTTTAATTTAACCCAATTTATCTAATTTGTTGAATGATTTTCAATGATTTTTAACAACCGGACGTGTGATGTATGATAGCTATAGTTATTGAAATCCATCAAATTGAATGAGTTTGCAATGGCAAAAAATTTCTTTACGCTTTCCAATCACTACTCTGCTCTCTATGTTGCAAACAAAAAATCGCCTCAAATTACGCTCCTCGGCAAAAATTGTAGCTAAAATGCAAATTCATTATGCGGATATGACACGGATCCATTGATTTTTGAACCCAAATAAAAAAGTCACGAACTTTTGCCGAAATATGAGATGTTCAAAATTGAACCCAAAAAAAATCAAGGGAGTTGGTGCTTGGAGCTCATTAACGACAGCTGCTGCCGCCGTTAACTACGCATATCGAATATCGAAAGATATATACACACATATCTATATATATATGGCCAATAAATCTGCTCGCAATTTTTTTGCCCTTACAAAGACATCAATCTAAATTTGGCGTAGCTCAAGGGGGGGGGGGGAAGAAAAATAATCATCAAATCAAATCAAAAATACATCAAAGTTGAGTTTTTTTTGTTTTGTTTTCTATTTAATTAGTCGACGCGTGTGTGGATAATGTTTTTATTTTGCGAGTGAGAGTGTAAGTAGATCCCTTTACTCTTCGAATTTGCACTTTCCCCTCGTTAAGGTTTTTTTTTTTCCTTATTTTGTATACAAAATTTGAAACCCCAAATCGAATCTTTTTGCCGCTTGATTAATTGCTCAATCTGTGAAACTTTTCATTTGTCAAAGCCCCAACGGTTTCATATATTTTGCAATTAAGCAAGATATGTATAGAAAAAAAGAAGATTAATCTAAGGTTAATTAAACATGGGTTCTAAACATTGATGATTTCTCATCTTTGTGTGTATTGGTCGTTGAGTAATCGAATCAACAAGACAAGTGGCAATCAATAAATATATTTCCCATTTGTCACAGCTACAAGTTTGTATTTTTCAATTAGAAAAATTAACAGAGCCCAGAGATAAAGTATTTGTTGTTAAGTTCTGAGTGATTTAATTGATTAAAATGAAAAGAAAACAAGAGTCAATTTGATTTTGATTTTATCGAGGTTCACATTTTGCTTATTGTTATAAACAATTTTATCTATTGCCCCAATGGTTAATCAATTAAAAAACAAAGCAAGGTGCAATTAATTTCGATTTTAATTTGGCTAAAATCGAGCTCATATTTTGCAATTAAGACCAAACAAGCAAAAGCAACAAAAGATTGCTTCATTTTTTATTTATTTTTTTGTTGTTGTATTCTGAGTTTATCTTTTGTTTCAATTAGCAATCAATTAAACTAAACAAACGGTAATCAATTCTGATATTATTTAAAAATTAAAACAAAGAGATAAAGGAAATTGTGGGAATAGTTCTGAGTCAGAAAATCTAAAAGTTATTAAACAATATATCAATCCACAAAAAAGATTGCAAAAATCTATATAGTTAAGGTTAATGGTTGATAATAATGATAACTTTTTACGATCATCACGCATCAAGGGAATGGTTTTAATGAAACTGAAGA